ATCAGCACGTCGTCCAACCTGAAGACATACCGATAAAACATTTTTTATTTTAGTTTGGCTCCCTGTGAAACCACCACGGTGGAGGTGACCTCGTGGCTCAAGAGCGCCAAGGAAGCACTGCTGAGAACCTGGGTTCAAACCCAGGCAACCACTTGCCATTCAAATGGGCTCTTAAGTGTAGAGAGTTGATGGTCTTAGCCTAGTCACCAACGATTGCAAAACAACAACGCAAAATCACGTGACGTTTTATTCTCCACTTAACATGGCTACATTCCACCTCCACAAACCAAAGTATTAGTTTGACTGCTGTGTCATGAACATTACCCTCAGTGGCATATTGGCACGGTTGGCTACATCCGGTGCGAAAGAAGTTCTGTGTGGAACCGAGCACCCTTGAAGGCATCTGTTTACCACGAAGAGTCGCCCTGCTCTGCGAGACATGGATATCTGATGTGGTAATGGCGATGACGAAATGTGCCTAAGTATGGTTGGCTACGTACGGTGCGAAATAAGTTCCGGCGACGTAACGGCGTACACGCAATGTGCCCAAGTACGGTTGCCTACGCACGGTGCGAAAGAAGTTCCAGCAAAGTAACGGCGATGACGTAATGTGCATAAGCACGGTTGGATACGTACGGCACGAAAGAAGTTCAACATACATAAAAGGTAAAACATTTATTAAAATTGGGAAAGAAAAACACCAAAGCATCTCTGTGCAAGATGCTGGCTCCTTCAGAAGAGGCCTGTCAGCTGAAACACTGAGACCTCTGTTTCCTCTGCTACTGGATAATAACTTTCTTTTAAATTGGTTTCTATTAACCTGCCATTCATTGGATAGCTTTGATGAAACAGAAAAGTAATTCCTTCATTTCACTTTAACACGTCGGCTTTCGTGACCAATATCATCCAAAATACAGATTTTTTTGGGGGAGATAAATCGCGTAAATATAAATGTGTATTTTAAACCCGCCACCACCCGACACAGCGAATTAGTAAGGTTTGTCAAGTAAACAGAACATGCCAATTCGATACTAGTATAGCACACTGGTGTGTTGGAGAGCAAATCCACAACATTTACAATCTGAGTACTACTGGTGAAATGTCGTACTCAGATTAGAAATGTTAACTTAAAGCTTTCGTGACTGCAGGAATTCTTATTCTTTGGGTCTTTCGGTGAAGCCACGTAGATAGAAAAAAAAATCACGAAGCTGCGGAGGTGGCCATTGTATACATTGTATACATGACAAACCTTACCTTTTTGATTTAAAGCTTTCGTGACTGCAGTAATTCATATTCTTAGTTTTTTCGGTAAAGTCACGTTGAAGAGAAACAACAAAATAACAAAATATATATAATGTTTTATTGTTTTATATATATTTTGTTATTTTGTTGTTTCTCTTCAACGTGACTTTACCGAAAAAACTAAGAATATAAACCTTACCTTGTATACATTGTATACAATGGCCACCTCCGCAGCTTCGTCGTCGTGGAGGTAGCTCAGCTCTCCGATCTTACATTGACATGCAAATTTCATAACTAGCCCCGCCCACTTCGCTTATGACCCTTGGGGCTACACCCATCTCAAACCTTTATAACATCCTGCCTCAGCAGCTCTCTCGCTATTTTTTCACCTGATGACGATTGTTTGTGTTGCGATCGAAACGTCGTGATATTTGTATTATTTGGCATGTTCTGTTTACTTGACAAACCTTACTAATTGGCTGTGTCGGGTGGTGGTGGGTTTAACGACACATTTATATTTACGCAACCTAATCCCCAAAAAAACCTCTAGTATGGACTGTTGGCCATTAACACGGATCACACAAAGGCAAAATTGATGACTCCGGCAATCTGTGGACCGATCAACGGTGCTGGCGTGTGTACCAACCACCGTGCCAGGGCCATGCCAGGGCACCTGATGCAGGAGGAGCATGGGAACGCACCCAACTTGCACAGTTATATTTAACCCATTCATTGAATCACACCGTTTTCACTGATAAGGGTGAGAACATTTGCTCACTGGCAAATGTTTTGGAGCGCATACATACATTGTACACACACTAAAAAGCATTATAAAAAGAGAAATGCAGCGGTATCACGCACGCATTAGGTTGACAGAAACACGGTTTCAGTACTTGTGCGTGTGAACGTTCATCTTCACACGTAGGCTTTCGCGACAAATATTATCCACAATGGAGTTTACTCCCCAACACACAATTAGTTACTGGAGTAGTAACGAATTGCCACCTTTTGTTTACGTGACAAACCTTACAAATTGGTTGTGTCGGGTGGTAGCGGGTTTAGCCACGCTTCATATTCACGCGATTTAACCCATTTTGTCCGGTACACGTACAGTACTCGTGTCGATCCGCTGCTGCAAAATGCCATCGCCATTCGACCATACTTCACCACGATGCTCAATGCGGTATGTGAAGGTGGTGTGCGGGGGGGGGGAGCTTGCCACGTAGCCACCACCAACAGCAGCAGCCTACAACAACCTGAGCCGTGCAACAAGGACGATGCCAGATCCACCACCTCCTTCGCTTGCGAGACCTAACGAGGCAGGGCGCATTGGTGTACGGTGCTTTTTCTGGAATATTTTGCTGTTTTTCCTGGATTTTCTGTTTGCACATAGTCATATTAAGATGTTTTCTTGTTCATGTTTTTTGTTTGTTGCGGTTGCACCCGATTCAAGAGCCGAATGGCTCACAGGGCTATACCAAATAAATGAAACTGAAAACTTAAATCCGGCACAGGCACAACAAATCTACAACACTTTGCTTGCGGAAGCATCCCCCCTTTTTGTGGCCTTATTATAGATTGCTGGAGAGAGAAGGTGAAACAAAGTGCTCTCTATAGAGCACTTATAATGTTAACCAGCAGAAGTTACTGTGCATGAGAATTATGGTGGTGGTGGTGTGAATTAGCACTACACGACCACCTGATGATACAGACACACAACATGCCAGGCACTTCTCAGTCAGCCATCTCTCAAGGCTCTGCCACGCATCATAACGACCCTTTCCTGGCACGTGTGTGCGGTGCACTTCTATCGTACCGTACGTAGCCCACCGTGCTAATCGGTGGTTTATTTTGCCTTTTTCATCGCACCCTACACCACCGGTTCTCCCCCACCACCACACCTCGCCTCACTACTCTCGCCGTGCACTGAAGGCACATGGTATAAAACCCCTACACAGCAGCAGCGTTACTCCAGCATCTGCTTCGGGACACCAAAAGGTTTTGGACTGTCAAAGCCTCACATCACTATACACTACAATATACACTAGACTATTACACACTGCACTACTATACACTATTATACACTACACACTATACACTACACCACTATACACTACAATATACACTAGATTATTACACACTGCACTACTATACACTATTATACACTACACACTACACTATACACTACACCACTATACACTACACTATACTATTACACACTGCACTACTATACACTATTATACACTACACACTACTATATACTGCACTACTATACACTATTATACACTACACACTACTATATACTGCACTACTATACACTTCTATACACTGGTATACACTACACCCTATACACGGCACCTCTATACACTACACTATTATACACTGCAAACTACACTACTATACACTAGTATACACGACATTACAATACACTACACACAACACTACTACACTGCACCACTATACACTACTACACCACTATATACTACACTATACCGTTTGCAGCTCGCTATCCCTTTGCACATCCGCAACATCAAATACAGTCGGACTTCTTTCAACAAGCGTCTGAAAGGCCTCTCTCTGTGTCTCTGGGCCAAGCTTCGCGAGCAGCCCCGAGGCTTGGCACCACCGCCTCCAGAGTTGTGGACTCGTCCGAGTTGTTGACTTTGTCCGAGTTGTTGGCTTGTCTGCAACATCTGGCGCGTTATAAATGTCATCGTTATTTTAATTATTATTGCGCTCACCGTCAAACACTTCTCGTGACACGCGGCCTATAACGGTGTGTGGTGAGGCTAACATGCAGCATGGTGGCGCAGTAGGGGGGCACAAGCGGTGCATCGGCCAGTCGTCTCAGTCGACCCCATGGCACCTGCAGGGTCTGTCACGTGACCTCCTGCACCTAGCCTGGCACAGTAGGGGGCACAGGTGGTGCATCAGCCAGTCGACCCCATGGCACCTGCTGGGTCTGTCACGTGACCTCCTGCACCTAACCTGGCACAGTAGGGGGCACAGGTGGTGCATCAGCCAGTCGACCCATGGCACCTGCTGGGTCTGTCACGTGACCTCCTGCACCTAACCTGGCACAGTAGGGGGCACAGGTGGTGCATCGGCCAGTCGACCCCATGGCACCTGCAGGATCTGTCACGTGACCTCCTGCACCTAGCCTGGCACAGTAGGGGGCACAGGTGGTGCATCAGCCAGTCGACCCCATGGCACCTGCTGGGTCTGTCACGTGACCTCCTGCACCTAACCTGGCACAGTAGGGGGCACAGGTGGTGATCGGCCAGTCGACCCATGGCACCTGCTGGGTCTGTCACGTGACCTCCTTGCCAGCGGGCGTTCGACCCTTCACGTGGCCTTAACGTGCACCTAGCCTGGCACGAGCGCCGTGGTGATGTCACCGCAACTTAGAGGCGAATGGTGGTTGTTGTTGTTGTTGTAGCACTCTCCAATCCACGTTTTCACATTGCTGCTCTTCCTCGTCAAAAACTCGCAAGCCTTCCAACCTGCCCACGCTTGTGCTATGGTGCTCTAATATCTTACTTGCTAGGGAGTCACGGACTCAACGTGGTTATCATCTTTTTTGCCGTGTCTCTCTCTCTCCCTCTCGGCGGTAAAACCCCAGACGATTCGCACGCGCCACACTGAAAGTAACCGCCGTGTTAAACGTCAACACCGTGAAGACAGGTGACGGGAGGAGACGGGGGGGAGGAGGAGGAGGGGAAGGGCAGCAGCAGCAGCAGAAGGTGCAAAGGACGTACGCGTCTCTCCCCACGGGTTTCCCGGAGCGCGGCCTACGGCTCCTCCTGCAGCCTGCGGCCTCGCCTGAGCAGCCCGGCCCGGGGTCGCGCCTCCTTCCCGGGTGGAGACCGCCGCCGCCGCCGCCGCCGGCTGCTCGCCGCTGTCGCCGGCGCAGCTCCTCCGCTCGTCTCCGTCGCCTCTCACCCGGCTGGGCGCCGTTGCTGCAGCAGCAGCAGCAAGCATCGTGGCGACTTTAGTGGCCATTCGTGTGTGTGTGTGAAGAGAAGGGAGGGGGGTGAATTGAATCGGCAGACGGTGGCGATTGCTTCACTTGCTCAGCGCCATTCGAAAGAGAGGGGGGGGAGGGAAGAAAAGTCGGGGGGGGGGGACCCGCACGACACTCACGTGACTCGGGGGGGGGGGGGGATCCACAAGGGGAGGAGCCGGGGGAGGGGACGCGACGGTCACGTGACACCGGTCGAAGGGAGGGGGCTCGGCGTGTCACGTGACAAAGGGAGCGGGGTGTCTGAGAGGAGTTGTCACGTGATCTTAAACGGGGAGGGGGGCTCGGTGGGTCACGTGACACCCCACGAGGAAGGGGGGGTGGGGAGACGCGGCTCGAGCCCCGTCACGTGACGCGGAGCGGCTTGGGTGGGGTGGGGTGTGGGGGCAGGGCGAAGGAGGGGGACTCGCAGGTCACGTGACGTGATGCAGCGGTGGGGAACGAGTGGAGGAGGGCGGGGTATAAAGACGCCGTGGAGCCCATGTGACCTGGGATGCAGGGGGGGTCCAGGGGGGTCCAGGGGTGTCACAGGTGGGATGGTGTCACAGGTGGGATGGTGGTGGTGGTGTAAGGTTTCAGTTTCATTCATTAGGTACAGCCCTGTGAGCCATTCGGCTCTTGAATCGGGTGCACCCGCAACAAACAATAAACATGAACAAGAAAACATCTTAAAGTGAAATATCGATTTAAAGCTTTCGTGACTGCAAGGATTCATCTTCTTTGGTTCATACGGTAAAGTCACGTAGAATGAGAATAAATTAATACAATAATAAAATAAGACGATAACATTCTCACGACGTTTCGGCCACAACACAAGTAGTCTTCTTCAGGTGAAGGAACAAAACTGTCGGGACGACAGAGCTTCAATGAACGCTGCTCAGATTCGTAGCGTCTTTTAAAGTGACTATGTTCATAGTTCATAGTTCATTTATTTGATTCTAGATTTAAAGCTTTCGTGACTGCAAGGATCCATACTCTTTGGTTCTATTCGGTAAAGTCACGTAGGTAAATAATAAAACAACAATAATCACGACGTTTCGGCCACAACACAAGCGGCCTTCATCAGGTGAAGGGACGAGACTGTCTGGAGGACAGCGCTGGAGTGGAAGAAGCCACGCTCAGATCACGATCTTTAAGCTGTGTGAGAAGAAGAAGACCACGGGCTTTGACAAAGGAATTAGCATATAATTTAGCATTGAAATGGCTCATTGAAATAGCTAAGTTAAAGTATACACATCCGTAGAGGTGCCCCTTGACAAAGGAATTAGCATAGAATTTAGCATTTAAATAGCTGAGTGATTAGCTAGTAACTGGTCACAGAAATAGCTATGTTAAAGTCAGAGTATATACATTCACCGAGGTACCTAGTACTCATCAAACAGGAGAATTTAGCGAAACACAACCACGCTCAGACATCGGACCTGTGTGCAAGCAAAGAGGTGGTGTACGTGCCGGTGGACTTGCAGTTTGGCGAGGGGGGGGGGGAAAGGGGGGAGGGGGATTTTACCTATTGATCCAGGTCCGGTTCAATACAGTACACAAAATTCGTGATCTGATCCCATCCGTGAAGGATGTCATTCCTGATTTACAGTACCCCGGGGTTTACAAATTGAGTTGTACCTGCGGTTATTGCTAGATCGGTGAGACAAAGCGACATGTCTCTGACCGAATTCGCGAGCACAAATCAGATTTGAAACACGGCAAAACGAATTCTTCTGCCGTAGCTGATCACTGTTACAACGCTGTGGGGGATCACGAAATATTTTTTTTCGATACCAAGGTTCTTTGCAAACCCACGGGCTTTTATCAGAGATTTGTTCATGAAGCAATTCAGATCTACACAGACACAATTTCAACCGAGAGGATGGTTTCAAATTGAGCAACCATTGGAAAGATGTTCTAAATCGAACTAAACATTAAACTAATTTCAATGGTACAGTATATTTTTCGAGTAGTGGTACCCCAAACTTTCGCAGCTCTTATAAATTCCCATTTTCACACCATCAATATGTAGGGGTGCTATGGGGAATAAACACATGACACGGGAAGGTGTGGTTCACCCACACCTTGGTGGCTACAACAACGTCCGCTAAGGCTCCAGTGGGTATAAAGTGCGGGGAGCCAGGGAGCTCGGGGCAGAGTGTGGGGCCCGAGGCTGAAGCAACCAGTGAAGAAAGAAGGCCAGCTAGGTGAGACCCTGGAACTCCTGTGACCGCTGCCCTTTTCAGGGCCGGCACAGCAAGCCAGTGGTGCGGCCCCAGAGCCCCAGAGTCAGAGTCCTTCTAAGGGCCGGTCTGGTCGGCGGGGTGCCGAGATCTGTGCCTAACCAGGGCCGGATCTGATAGCCTCCCTTAGAGCCCTACCAGGAGGAACTGGGAGCCTAGAGCTTAGGCCAGAGAGCCTGGGGTGTGTTCCTGAGTTATACGGGTGGAGGGGCCGCTACCCCTTCTAGTGTAACCCTTGTTAAGGTTTAAATAAATAGTGCTGCTCTATTCTGCCGTCTCCGTGTCCTGGAACCCACTACAACTGGTGTCAGAAGTGGTCTTAAAATGGACACAAGGAGTACAAACCGATCACAGGAACCCCAGGAGGAGGACGGCTCGCCTGGGATTGCGCCAGAGGCCGCGGCCGACGATCCTGGGATGTCCCAGACGCCCCAACAGCAGCCGCCGCTGGAGGAGTGGCCGCCGATGGAGGACGGGTTGCAGGCGGCTCACTCTCGACTGGCTGAGCTGCTGTATGCCGCGGCTTCCACGCTGGAGGAAATCAACCGCGCGGGGCTGCGGGCGCAAAGGCGGCAGAGAGACGAACGCCGTTCAACGGCCATTCCCGCCGAAACACAGCCACCAGATTTCGGATTTGCCGCCATGACAGTGTCCGCCACGGCGATTGGAGGGTCGCAGCGCCACGTGGACGCTGTGGGCCAATCAGCGGTGGTGACGTCATCACCAACGGACGCCCGCTGTCAGGACCAATCGGCGGGCGCATCGTCATCACCTGCGCGACCGCCGATGGGTGTCCTCAGCCCCTCAGACACCGGTGGAGAGGCCGGAAATGGCGCGCGGCACCTCTCAGAGACGAAGCCATCGTTTCAACAACGCCTGCCGGTGTTGAAGGAGTTCGTTTCAGACGGCGGCGACTGGGGGGCCTTTCAACGCCGCTTTCTCGCTCATCAAGAGATGGCCGGCTGGACGGACAACGAGGCGTTGAGTGCGCTACCGGCCATGCTGGACGATGACGCCCTTGCTACGCTCATCACAGCTCCCAGATCAACGCGATCTACGCTACAGTCGGCGCTCCAGGTCCTCACCATAGTCTACGGGCCATCGTCGGACTGCCGCAAACTCTTCCACGAGCGGTGCAGGGGCCAGAAGGAGCCACCGCTGGCGTATCGCACGGCTCTCCTGGCCCTCGCAAAAGCGGCTTTCCCGCGGATGGACGGCGAAGGGGTGGACGCGATGGTGACGGAGAAGCTCCTGGCGTTGGCCCAGGAGCTACAGATCGTCATCGTCGCAGAGGACGACGCGGACATGTGCTCCTTGCGGGCAGCAAGACACATCCACGCGCACCTGATAGCGCAGCGTCGATCACCTCTCGTCCCCAAGGGCGCAGCTGCGGTGTGCGCTGGGACGCCGACCATCCCCCCCTCCGAGGAGGTCTTCGCGGCGGGTCGCCCGGTGGAGTGGAGATCCGGAGGGAGGCCGGCTCGGACCACACCGGATCGCCAGGAGCACCCCAAGGCGCTCATCACGTGCTACAACTGTGGCCGCAAGGGCCACGTGGCTGCGGAATGCCGGGCGCCTCGTCAACGACAGCCGGGACGGTCGGACGGCGCTCCAGCCTACAGGCCTCCGCATCGCAACCCGGCAAGTCGCGGCACCCCACATGCTCGGCCTGTGCACACACCTGTCCCCACCTCGCGCGTTTCGGTGTACGGGCCTCGGGGTACGCCCATTGGTTTGTTGGGTGGCGGCGGGGTCGAGAGGGTGCTCGGGCCGGGGCAGTGGACGGAATTGGCCCACCGCATTGTTGCTGCGTCGGCAGGCTCGTCCGTGGTCGCGGGTCACATTGACGGGGTCGAGGTGCGTATCCTCGTCGATACGGGAGCTTCGGCGACCATTGTGTCAGACTTGATTTATAATATTCTTCCCGTTCAAAGCCGCCCCTTGCTCCCAGTCACCGTTCCGTGTTACGCAGCGAACGGGGGTTCGCTGGGTATCATAGGCCAAATTCGAGCACAAATTTGCATTGGCGATATCAAACTCTCCGGGCCGATATTAGTCTCGTCCTCGCTGGCGGTTCCGTGCTTGTTGGGGACGGACTTTTTGGGCAAAATGCCGATTAAAATTCTAATTGATCAGGGTTGCATCGAGCTTCCCTCGGGCCGACGGGTAACATTCCTGCCTTCCCCTGTCACCTCAAGGGCAGCGTGCGCGTCGATACAAGCGTTCGTCACTCGGACGGTGCGTGTACCTCCCGGGGCGCAAATGCTCGTGCCCCTTCGCTTGCGTCGGCCTTTCGTGCCCGGTGTTCTGGACCAGGGAATTCTGTTAGGGCCCTCGAGGGCTGGGGAAAACGGGCTGGATCTGGTGGCCGCTCAAACGCTCGTTAAGGGGAGCGATGACCCGTTTATCCTCGTCCTTAACGTTGGCGTACAGACGGCCGTCGTTCCTCAGGGAACTGTGCTCGCGCACGCGACACCGGTCCCCGTGGTAGACACGGTTATGGGTAATGTGGGGACCGATCCTCTGGCTCAACCGCATTCTGAGGGGGACGATAGTTGGATGGACACACTATGTTCGGGCATGAGTGATCTGTCCGACTCCCAGCGTGCCGGCCTACGCACCCTTCTGACGGAATTTTCCGATGTTTTTAGTAAACACAAATATGACATTGGGTGCACGAAATTGTTGCGTCACCACATTGACACGGGTGACAATGCCCCGGTACGCCAGAATCCTTTTCGGTTAAGTCCGGCCGAAAAAGATCATGTCAAATTGGCAGTGGATGACATGCTGGCTGCAGACATTATAGCCCCTTCCACCAGTCCATGGGGAGCACCCATAGTGCTTGTCAAAAAGCACGATGGGTCCTTGCG